TTCTCAATTTTTTTTTTTATTATTTATTTTTAATTAGGTTTTGGTGAACATTTGGTTCACTGGTTTGCTAGTACTATGTAATACTATTAATTTCTGAATGTCATTTATAAGATAATAATACTTTATTGCACAACAGTAACATAAAAAACACAAATACAAGGCAAAACAATTACAGTTGCACAAAGGGCGGTCTTATCGCTAATCAGCGATTTCTTCCAGACAACCCAATGAGCTGGGAAAAGTAGAAAGCACGATAATAATAATGAGGTTGTGCGGAAGACAAGACAAAAGTTTTGTAAGTAGTCAATTGAAAATAAATTAAAATAAACGCAAACTAAACATATATACATACACAAACATTCACACATATCGCAATATAATGCAACAGTACTACTACCGTAGCAATATTTTAATGAATATGATGCTCATCTGACAAGAAATGCTCCTTAACTCTAGGGATTTGAAACAGGCTAGAGTTGGGCACGCAGTAGCGGCGCTAGACCACATGTGGACGTCGGCGACATCAAGTTCGCGAGGCCTATTTTACTTCGCAGTAAAAAACCGTTAAATTAAGTGAGCCAAATTATAAAATAACATATGAGTAAACGAGTTTTATTGTTGATAATCAAATGATGACAAAAAATAATTACAAATATAAAAATTTAATAACAAAAATAGTGTTGCCAAACAGACGGTTCTGAATACCCGTAAAGTACTACTCGCTTCCATCACGCACGTGTTCGAAAATAATAAAAGTCATTATCATCTGCTTAGCTTTTCCCCCGAATTGTTCGGGGTCGGCTACCTAAGCCAGGCCAGGAGAAACGAAAATAAATAGGTAACTTGTAAAAAATTTTTGCGAGGCTCAGACACGAGGCCGTCGGCGGTGGCCGACGTCGCCGACGCCTAGCGCTGCCACTGTGGGCACGCCTAATCTTTTCCAGCAGAGAATTCCATAGTTGGATGGCACGTATGGTAAAGGAGTGGCTGTACGCCTTGGAAAAGTTATAATAATTAACATTTTGCTATTGTTGTTATTTCAATTTTAACAATTTGTGTTCTGTCACCAGGTATCTTGAAAGGATACTAATGACATCGAAATATCATCTAAATCTGCCAAGGCGTATAAGTTTATAATATAAACTTATTTTTGAACTGAAAACTTCTTTAGCGGCGTTGTACACTTTTTTTTGTATGGGTAAAAAATGTTAAACACGTGGGCTGATCGCATCATGACACACAATAAAATTGGAAAGGTTGTTGACTTTCAATATATTGCACGAAACATAAGTAGTAATATTTTATTTTACCGTATTATAACAATAAGTCTCTATCTAGGACGTCCACGTGGCAGCTTTATTGCGAAGAAAATGCATTTTTTTACAATAGATGTCGCTAAGTGAGCTTAAACGTGATCGATGTAAGTTGATTTTTCTGAGAGATAAACTTTTTTAATGTAATATAAATTGTCATGTTTGTGTAAGATAGCGCAATGCACATGCATGATATGATACTGATAATTAAAGAAATTCGTGCAAAATTATTCCCTAACCATTCCAAAATATCAAAAATGCACAACGTTAATATTCAAGTTTTCATTTCTGCCGGCACTCCCGGAGTGTAACTCATCATTTCTTTTTTCTTTTTTAAATTATATATAGAAGTTACAACAAGGAATACATAAGAGTACAAGTTATATAGTCGAATAAAGAATTGTACATAAGTACAGACATGAACCCTGAAAACAATACACTCTTTTTTGGGCATTCGTTAAAAATAAAGACAGTTATCTCATCATAACAAAGATGGAGGCCAGTCTCGTCATTTTTATCATCAGTTTGAGTGATTGTAAGATTATGACAATTATGCATTGTCCCCGTCCATTTCCAAAGTGCTGCCGCTAAAACACGCCAGAATCAAAAACCTTGACTTACATTTTGACAACAAAAGGCAGGAAATCCTACCATTTGTTATGGCTACCCATAATTGAGTGAGACCAAGCACGCCGGCTTCTAGATTGTCTGTGACACATACAACCTTGATGATTTAATGATAAGGGTGGTTTTGCGTTGGCACTAATATCCAGGTTTTGATCTAATGTCGGCCAAGGTTTCTCATAGTAATTTCATAAATTTTCCGATACATGCAGAGTTGAACTACGCATTTGATATCCGAATGTTTACGATTATCATTATCATCAGCCCGCATCAGTCCAGTACTGGACATAGGTCTCTCCCATTTCACGCCATTGATTTCGGTTTTCAGATCTCCTTATCCAGTATTTTTTTTATATTTCCAACACTCACACCAATTAGCCTAGCTCCAAAGTAAGCACTGTAATGCTTGTGTTATGGGATACTAGGGTAACGGATAGAATACATATACTGTACATATATAAGTATAGAACATATATAATATTAAACATCCATGACTAGAGTACAAATGCTCGTATTCATCACACAAACATCTGCCCCCACCGGGATTCCAACCCGGGACCTCACGAGTCGGCGACATCATGAAACCCGGCGTACAAACCACTCGACCACGGAGGTCGTCGGAGTCATTGACCGCTGCTTTTCAGGTGTCGTCGCTCCATATCTCTTATCTATTAGACAAGTCCGTCCGTCTGTCTGTGGTGCTGTTTCAGCGGCCAAACCGTAAGAGATAGATAAAGAGAATATTTAAGTTATAAGTTAAGAATAGTCTGATAAGACTACAAACCGGATTTGAGTAACGTAGCACTTCCGGTTTTCGAGAAATGACGTGATTTCTATTTCAAAGGAAACCACACAAAATCTCCGAAGTTCTCAATTACTTAAATACATTTTTTAAATCAGGTTATGGTGAACATTTGGTTCACTGGTTTGCTATAGTCATATAGTCGCGGGACGTCCCACACTACGTTTGCCATGATGACGATGATGTGAAATAATAATTACGAACACATAACCTTTACTTATGTAAAGAAGAGTATGAGTATCTTGGTATGAGTTTCATTCCATGGAAGATGGGCCGGGTGCTAGTATGAGATGCAACTTGTTCAGACACGCTGGCCCCTTCCCATCTACATGGAACCAACAACAGAGCTGGTGCGGCTTGCGAAGCGGCTGAAAAAGCTAAGGCATGCAAATACCCCTGTATACTAGGCTCCGAATATGATTTTGTCCCATTCGGTGTAGAGACCGTTGGTCCGTGGGGTCCTAGCGCTGTAAGGATTTTTAAGGAAATAGCAAAAAGGTTGGTCGACATCACAGGAGACCGAAGTGCTGGCAGCTACCTCGGACATAGAATTAGTCTAGCTATTCAAAGGGGGAACGCTGCCAGTATCTTTGGAACCTTGCCTAAAGGTAATCCTTTTAATAATGTATTTTAGTTATTATATATTTTAAGGTTATTAGTTATAAATATCTTACCAGTTATTTAATATTATTATGTCGTATTATTTGATTAAAAACAGTACCTATACTTATTTTAAACAAGTTGAGTTAAAATGTAGGACGTAGGACACAAAAGTTCAAACTTTCAAACAATAACAGACAAAAGAAAATATCGACAACTTATTCCTTTTTCTTTGACCATTTAAATTGTATTAAGCGGTGAATCTACAATGTAAACATTATTGGAAGATCTACATTTATCATAATTATTGCTATTAATTATTCTAGGTATACTGTATCGAGACAACACGCGCCATGTAAAAATTGCGAGCGTCAACGCAGGCATATGCCGATAACGAATATAAAAAAATAAATAAACAGCTGTCCTAACGAATATTTTTAAGCCGAACAGCTGACCGGCGCTGACATATGGTTGATATCGATAAAAAATATGGATACCTCAATAAGTCGCAGTCTCGCAAGGTGTGTGGTCAGATGACTTGATGAACTAGGTATAAAATTACTCGTATCTGTAACAGGTGACAGAATGGTGGGAGATGCAAGACCATTATTAACCCTAGCACGAACCAATATCGAATTCGATTAGTTTGCAAGTCCGAAATGTCATCGTCTAATTTTGTATGGAAACTTGAACAGCAGCGCTACAATGGACGTAACGAGAACTAAAAGTCAGTACACATTTGACAATGACATTTCGCCCTCTCACACACTCGCAAACTATTCGAATTCCATATTAGTTCGTGCTAATGGTAGTGAATGTAGTATAATCAAATTATCATCTCAGGCAGACCGCGATCATGGAAGTTATGCAAAGGACAATGTTAAAATTGGCCTAAGAACCAACACCAATTTGGCATTTATGGTAATTCTTAGTATATTTTTTGCGATAATTATCAGTATTTAGATTGTGACGGACACTTCCAGTTAAGTAAGCTAAATTAAAAAGTTCTTTAAAATCGCACCGAATAAAATGAATTTGTTGTAATATTAATTTACTTTATACTGAGTACATACTAAGTTCATAAGTTGACCTATGTTTCATTGAATATTAAACATAACCTCAAAAACATTTTTGTTTTCCTAATAATTTAAGTTCTCAGTAGTGTCCGTCAATAATCTTTGTTTTTACAGTCATTTACTTACGATTTCGAACCTAGAAAATAATATTTCATGATTGTTGGTTCTTAGGCTAACTATGTATGGACGCTGAACAATGTTCTTTCGGAAAGTCCGTCATAGTTTCGGTTCCCAAAATGACCGGTCAAGTGCGAGTTCAACTCGCGTTGAAAGGATTCCATTCACAGGAATCAAATCTATAAACAAACAGATAGGTACATTTTTTTTTCTATACGCAGTAGTTTCGGAGGTAAGGGTAGGCGACAGGTCAATTTTCAAAAATTCTCTTATTATTGTTTTTTTAAGCATTTCTAAAAATAAATAATGAAAATATATGAAACCTGTTTCTATTGATGAATGGAACTCATTCAGAGTTTCACGAGGGAATTGGGTTCAGTCAGGCCAGCAAAGGTGTGATGATAGCTGGCTGGCTGGATCGGCATATTCATTAATTTAGACGTGGTTGGGAATTGCTAGATGAACGGGAATCGTCTGGATTCTCCCTACATTTATGTGATGTTCGGACTCCCGAGAAAAAATAACATTAAGATAAATAAATTGTTAATTAATTAAGAGACACCTATGAGAAATCTTGGATTTGAGACATTATTGATAATAATAGGTATATTATAATGTTTCTACTAGATAAAAAAGTAATTTTGATTAGATTTCACGTCACGGCCACTCGCTTCGCTCGACTCGCAATAGTTAGGTTTGGCCATTAACCGGCCGCTAGCGGGCGCTAGTATCACTCGAGACGTCATTGTGGTTGGATGTGTCGCCTGTTGCGGTTACATTCACAACTTGTTACGACAAACGATCACAAAATCATCGAAAAACAAACTTGTGACAGTGAAGTTCGCAGTGTTCAGTGCTTTGTTTAGTGAACAACGTATTCTTGTGCATATCTCCATTGAGTTTTGAGTGGTTTTTCAAAGAAATCTCTTGTAAAACTCGTATTAACGGAACTTTGGTCGTGGCGGATTTGCCGTCGATTCTATCGGGTTATTCGGTGAGTAGCGTTTTGCTATGGTTTTACTGGTTTCATGGTAAACGGAAAGCAATTGGGTCAGGGTGTCATCTTTGCGTTTAGCCAAATTAAAGATTATCTCCCATTTCTGTGCCTGTTCGCGGTAATGCCGAGAGGTCAAATTCAAGAAGTTGTTTTTCAAATGTTTAACGGTTCTCAATCAATCTCATAATAATAACATTGAAAATTAAGCAAACATCATGATGCGCTCATAATTATCAGTTAAGTAACTAAAAAATATTAAAGAGATACATTTAATACCGAACAAGATTATTATCAGCTTGTTAGGTATTCGCTTAAGTACCTAAAGTTTAAATGTCTGGAAGTATTATTAAGCTGCTGTTTGATGTTTGAAACTTATGATAAAACAAACATTCATTAAGTAATTATGTATTTAGGGAATTAACCAATCTAGGTAAATGAGATTTTTGTGATTTTTAATCGGTAATCTCTTATTATAATAATTACAATAAATGTTAGATGTTGGCTTATCAATTCCGGGACATTTGCACCCCCCCTGAAAAAATAAAGCATCAAAGCAAAGCCCCCATCACCCACCAGAATTAGGGCTGCCATCTCTAAAATGTGGCAACCAGGATAAGACGCGTGATAACCCAGGACTTTGGAGCCCAGAACCTGGACAGACCAATAAAAAACAGTTAAAAATATCACAAATCAACTTTTTTATGTTGATGTAGGCAAAAGAGCTAGCGGTCTACCTCATAATAAGTGGTCACTGCTGCCCATGGACACTTGCAGCACCAAGGGCCATTCATGCGTTGCCGTAAATTTTTAAACCCGGACTACAAATAAAACCCCGCCCGGACGCCCCGTAAACTAGAACAAATCCGGGGAAACCCGGACGGATGGCAGCCCTAACCAGAATTAAAACATCAAACAGGCCAGCGGTTTTATGCGTTATTAGTTTATTTTGTTACGAAACTTGCACATTATCGGAATCCGGTACAATAAGGTCTAATTACTAGACAAGGGACAAGACACAAAATTCCGGAACAATCCCAGATTTCCCGACCATCTAGTATCCCTATGTATGGACTTACCCACCCCAAGATTACCATACCGGAGTAGGCAATACCTAGGTCAACTTAATCCTACTTTATACGGAACGAAACTGTTCTTTAGAGCTTGCCTACTTCAAAACCTGCCTGTTTTGTGTCCTGGTCGATAAATATGGTGTTTACGCACCTGCATACCTGCCAACATTGAGCGGAGGTGAAAAACTTATCACGGAACTTGCCAGATAAAGTTACCAAACGAGAATCTTAAGGATGAATCGAAGGTTGTCTCGCTTGTTTACGTAGTTGTACTACGATAACCTATACGTCTAGGGTTACCATATCTCAGGATTTGTCCGGAGATTTCAGGATTTTTGGACTCTTCCCAGGATTGCGGCTGAATTTTGCAAATCTCATGAAATCTCAGGCCCGCGTGGTGGGTCATGGCCCAATTTCCCTATTCCATCCATAGGTAAGGCCTGTGCCCAAGCAGTGAGGACATTAATAGGCTGATGATGATGATACTTGGACATGGAATATTATACAATACAGGTATTAAAAACATTTACATATTTATAAGTAGGTAATGCTCAACGTACAGAATAGTTTTTCTGAAAATAATATAGAAGAAGGGTCTGGTGGGGATTGGCTAGTAATTCACGAAATTTAATTTTTCATCGGTTATCGAGTGGCTCGGTTACCGTCTCTGAGATGTCGAGTTCGATCAATGAGGAGTACCTAATGTTTGGGAATTATATCTGGTCTGACTGCGTGTTTGTGGTACCGATATTGTTAATAACTCCTATATAATTCCATAGTTCATATTCTGTTATTTTGAGATCAACGCATCGTAGGTGTGTGATACAATTATTAATTTATTCAACACTAACTTGCGTTGGTAACTCCGTCGGTGTCAAAGTTAGTTTTTTTTAAAGAATCCCACTTAACCTCACTTTTTGCGGAATGGCAATACCTATATTTTATAATTCCAAATCACATCCAAATCCGTTTAGCCGTTTTAACATGAAAGTATAACAAACATCCATACAAACTTTCGAATTTATAATAATCAGTAGGACTAGTGACACGTTTTCGCTTCGCTTTTATTATTCCATATACCTACCTAAGCTTTCCGCGAAAAAATTAAATTTATCTAAATGATAACAGTTACTCCGCGCTTGCAACAGTGCCGAAATATCGGAAACTCGCTAAAAACAAGGTAAGGTCCCGTAAATAACTTAGTTAGATTAAAACAAAAAGGGTAGATACGGTACGCTCATACTTGCATCAAACAAAAACTGGTCCCACGGCAGCGCGAACGGGACGGCGAGACCAATCACGCGACCAGTACTCGACGTCACTACCGAATAAGATTCAAAACAAACAGCAATTTTTATGAAAAAATATATTTTATAGTACTTACGAATGAAAAGTGATGCCGTGGGTTTTATTTTTAGTTCTTGAGCAATTTGAGCACTTTTTAAAAACACACTTAGGCATTGTTTTATCAGAAAATATTAGCAATATTTCTTTTTGGCGTTCACATGTACGTCGTTTGCATGTCAAGTTGCGACTAACGCGATTAGGGTCGTGGACCACAATTCATGCGGATCACTTTTGTGAGGCTAGTGCCGTATCTACCTGTGCCCTTTTTGTTTTAATCTAAGATTACTATAATGTTAGTGACCATGAAAGTTTTGAACAATATATCTAAATGATAGTTTTAGTAAATCGCATGCAAATCAGTTCACTAGTATTAACGCGCATCGCGAACATACATAGCAGACAAATGCTGACGGGAGACTTAATAATAATAATGTATGCTATTTTCGGGGCCAACTAACAAACGTTGGGAAACCTGTTTTCATGATGTCATACGAGAATCCACAATGGGGAATCATTTAAGGTTAGGTTAACAATGAAAGGATACCTGCATTAGTATGGACAACACGTCCACTCTAAGCCACACCTTAATCTAGAAGCCTTAATGACGCCACATTAGGAATTAGCTAGGCTAGGTATAAATTGTCATTCCGTAACAATAGCACAGGCCGACCATTCTATCCTACTAAGTTTAAAGCGATAATCATGCATCAATGGAGTTTCTCGTTAGAAGAAACTTTATCCAAAACAAAATTTGTTGGACCACTTAACTTAGGGGTATAAAAAATTGTGTACGTCCTATTCTCAGACTTAATGAATGTAGACACAAATATTCATAAGTATCGGTCAAGCCGTTTCGGAGGAGTTTTGTTACCCGCCATACACACTACGAGAAATAGTTACGATCAGACTGTACAGATCGAACGGTACAGTTTATACGATTTCGTTTAGTATAGGAAACTGTGCAGTTTTATAACCTACACGCTACGATTTATCGGTACCGTTCGGACTGTACAGTCTAATCGTAACGATTTATCGTAGTGTGCATGGCGGGTATTACAAACACTGTGACACGAGAATTTTATACTATACAAGCGGCCACCCGCGACATTGTACGCGTGGAGTTAGTTAGAAATAAAGGTTCACTGCTCGTTTCCCGTAGGTGATAGCATGATAATATGTAACCTATATGTTGACCCGACTTCTTAATAATATTCGTGCCAAATTTTAAGTAAATCCATGCAGTACTTTTTGAGTTTATCCCGGACATACATACAGTCAAACAGACAAAAATTCTAAAAACTATATTTTTGGCTTCGGTATCAATTGTACTCGTAGATCACACCCCAAGTATTATTTAAAAAAAATATTCAATCTACAGTTTTGAATTTCATACCATTTTATTATATGTAAAGATTAGATAGATAATAAAGAAGCTACACACAAAATGTAGTTTTAATCGTAAGTACATACTACAAAGGCGATTTAGGGAGCGATATTATTTTCAGTTTGCCTTACCTGACTGACCCCCTAGCCTTAGTTTTGGCGATCTTACTCAATGTATTCTGTTTATAACAGCAGTCTTCTTTACCGTGTATAAAGTTCGTGTTATCGCTGAAATTCGAGTGTAAATTCCAATGAACGCAACATATTTATATCGACTGCAAATACCAGTACTTTTCAATGAGAGTTTGTTTTAATGCCAATGTGAACCATGGGAGGTTGTGCGTGGCGTTTCAAACCAGTCTTGGTCACCCTACGGCGGGTAAGGTCAGTTGTGAGTTGTGACCTGCGCTGTGGTTGTGAGTGACTGGGGAAAAAGTTATGTATCCATATGGATACATAAGTTTTTCGAATATTCGAGTAAGATGGAGTTGATTTATTTTCACGCAATTTACATTTAATAGGAGAAGGTGTTTTCGAATAAGCACATTAATTTAAAAACTTCAATAACACAAGTGTGAAATCCTAAGAGTAGCATACCTATCTACTAACTAAAATTAAGCATTTAGCATTTATTATGATTGCCTTAATATTGATAATATTTTATTTATAAAACAGTACCTATTCTTTATTTAAATTAGCTTTGGCAATAAATTTTGGAGAATAAAATTCATCAAGCCTTTTTATTTTACCAGTATCAGTACCAATTTTAATCTCGAAAAACATTTTTGACGTATTTTGAAAATTTTAGAGATTTAGTACCTAGAAATTGTGATTAGTGATACTACTATAAATCCTACATAAAAAATACACAAGATTATTTTTACAAGGAAAAGGGTAAAGATTCGCTTCATGCCTTAAAACGGTTCTAATATCTAGGTATTATCCAAAGAACAAAATAGGGTAATTGTCAGTATTAAAAATAAAGTGCCAATTGTTAGCATCTGTGTTTAGAATGAATATTGGCAGGGCTTTTTACTATTTTTACAAAAAAAATATTCATAATTTTACTAAAAACCCACGAAAAAGATAATAGTTTTCTTAACTATTGTCACGTGCCCCATAACGCTGGGGATTGGCGGAGCCTAAAATGACGTCACACGCAAGTAAACTTCCGGTTAAAGTGACATTGCATTGTAT